ACCGCCGGCTCCATGCCCGGACCCCAAGCCTGGGCCCATCGCTGCACCTCGCAGGGCAGCAAGGCTCCGTCTGCAGGGCTCCCTGCGTGGCTCTGGATGCCACGGTAGTATTTGTTTTCTTAAAAGTCAAAACATGTTTCACCCTAGCCGGTTTGGCTCAGTGGATAGAGCATCCGCCTGCGGACTGTAAGGTCCGGGTTCAATTCCCGTCAAGGGCATGTACCTCGGTTGCCTGGCCGGGGCCCTGGACATGAACTGGAAATTCATAAAAAACATTGTCCCCAGGCATGGCTCAGTGGTTTGAGCGTCCATCTCTGAACCAAGAGGTCATGGATCAATTCCTGGTCAGGGCATAACCTATTTCCTCTATGAAATCAATAAAAATATATTTGAACAAATTAACATTGGCCAATAAATACATAAGAAAACATGAAAGCTCACTAGAAGTTAAAGAAAAGCAGATGGCCGAAACCAGTTTGGCTCAGTGGATAGAGCGTCGGCCTGCGGACTGAAAGGGCCCAGGGTCGATTCCGGTCAAGGGCATGTACCTTGGTTGTGAGCACATCCCCAGTGGGGGATGTGCAGGAGGCAGCTGATCGATGTTTCTCTCTCATCGATGTTTCTAGCTCTCTATCTCTCTTCCTTTCTCTCTGTAAAAAATCAATTAAAAAAAAAAAGCAGATGATAACCAGACCCCGTATTTTGGCCGGCGGCCCTGGCAGGCTGCAGTGCTGGCTGAGGCGTCCTGAAGCCGGCACTTTGCTTATATTGCTCGTGGGTGTATAAAAGGATACATCTTGCCGGAGGGCAGCTTTGCAGGATGAATTAAAATTATTTAAAAGCTTCATACTCTCGGACTCAGCAATCCTCTCCCTGGGAGAAATTTCTTAAGGAGCCCAGAGAGGGACCTAATGATCTGATCTGTAGGAACACTCACCACAGCACCATTTATGAAATGAGAGGAAAACGGGAAGACTCGAGGTGTCCAGGAATAGGGAATTAGGACAAACGACGGGTCAGCGACTTATAAAAGATTTTTACTAACGGGAAAATGCTGTGTCACAATAAACAGAAAAGGCAATGATAAAACATACAATATTATCCAAATGACGAGAAATAAAGGGTGTCCCAAAATTCACGCAAGAAGTAATTTTGATAGAAAACACAGGTTTATAATAAAAAATTATAAATTTTTTATTGATTCATAAAGTCTACAGTATAGGGTTCTGTATGGAATAGCACATCGGGTAAATGGCCTCCACGGCTTTGCTGGCACATACGCAAAGCCATGGTCTTCATTGGTCTTCACTGTGCCTGCTCCTGGGCCATAATTTGTACTTGGTAATGCTTATCAAATTGAAGGGATTGAAATCAAAGGGCAACAGATATTAGAATCTGATTCAATAAACCAAGTAAAATTAGACTTTTATTTTTTGTTGTTGTTATTGTTAGTCCTC